AGTCTCCATCCCCATTCAGCCCGCTCGTCCACAGGCTGAGGTTTCCCCCACCAGGCCACTGGTGGGAAACAGGCAACAAATCATCATTTGAAGCGGCCAGTCCATAAAGTCTCCACCCGCATTCAGCCCACTCGTCCACAGGCTGAGGTTTCTCCCACGGCACGGCTTCAGAGGAGTCCTCTGGCGGGAAACAGGCAACAAATCATCATTTGAAGGATCAGGGCATAGAATAAAGACAACCCAATCTGGCCATTTCATTTCCCTCAGTGGATTGGCTCTTCCATTTTAAGCTCATCCCATCTCATACCTGCATCATCAGTTTGTTGACTTCTCTGTAAAAGAACCCACGAGGAGGATACGTACGCATTGATGGCTGGATTTTTTGTGCATTTCTGAGTGGGTTGAGGGCAGCAGGAGAAGAGGAAGACCTAATGTGAGATGGACGGCCTCCTTAAGGAAGCCTTTGCAAGAACTGAGCACGGCGGTTGCGGGCAGGACATTTTGGAGATGGCTCATCTATCTGTAGGGTTGCCATCAGTTGGAAGAGACTCGACAACATGTAACAACAAAAACAACAAAGGCCTGCAAAACACCAGAGGAGGAAGGGAACAAAGTGCAAACAGATCAGGGACCACAAGATCAGGAAATCAGAGCCATGCAATTAATTGCAAAGTAATGTTGTTGGATATAACTAGCTACATTTTGAGTAACAAGGGGGTAATAACATTATATTTTAAAAGGAATTTGGAATGGGGTTACTTTTATTGGGGTAACATTTTCTTTGTTGCTGTTGTTGTTTAGTCATTTAGTCGTGTCCGACTCTTTGTGACCCCATGGACCAGAGCATGCCAGGCCCTCCTGTCTTCCACTGCCTCCCGGAGTTGGGTCTAATTCATGTTGGTCGCTTCGATGACCCTGTCCAGCCATCTCGTCCTCTGTCATCCCCTTCTCCTCTTGCCTTCACACTTTCCCAACATAGGGGTCTTTTCCAGGGAGTCTTCTCTTCTCATGAGATGGCTAAAGTATTGGTTTTTGAGTAACAAGGGGGTAATGACATTATATTTAAAAAGGAATTCGGAACGGGGTTGCTTTGATTGGGGTAACATTTTCTAGTTACTTTCAAAGGCTGTCTTCAGATGACATTTTACAGAGCCCTTTGAGTGGAATCTTTTCAGTTTTAGGCCACAGAATGGAGAGGTTTGTTCTCTTTGCAGTCCAGGGGACGGTTCCAAAAGCTAGTTACTTTCTAAAAGCCGTCTTCAGAGGCCTTTGAGTGGAATCTTTTCAGTTTTAGGCGATTCTCTTACCAATGTTATGGTTCTTGCACCACAAAGGAAGTGGAAAAGAACAGAAATGTAATGAACAGCAGAACTAGTAATGTAACAAGTTACATTCGCGACAGTGTGAGAAATAATAATGATTTGCAGTTTTCAAACGCTGCAGTGAGAAACAGGAAAGGATCGTTTTCAAGAAAGTTTGTCCCCCCCCCCTCCTAACTTCTGTGGAATTCTATTGTCCTGTTTTCATCAGTGGTATTGTTACACCACACTATTAGGAACATTTAGTTCTCCAAAAAAACAGTAGTGGTTGACAGACATCATGAGTATTTCCTGGCATAACGTTGTGCAACAGGATTTCAGCTACTATATTCCATCGCATCGCATTGCATCTTGTCTTATCTTATAATAGTGCAACTGAAGAAGGCTGGAGCCAAATGTTTTGTATAATAATTCTGTTTGTAACCCACTCTCATAAGTCATACATTATATGATAGGAATATACTATTTGAGTAAATTATTTGCTCCTTTGGTTGATTGATTGACTGACTGGTTTTTTTTTACTACCCATCTACTGGAATGCCACTACTCTGGGCAGTTTACAAACATTAACCACAGGACACCCAACCCGCTCACCCACCAACAGAAAATCCAAAAAGTAATCACAAAAAGGCAGCCTCAGTGGTGAAGGCAGCCAAAAAGCCAAAATCAGAGATAGGACATAGACATAGAAGCCGTCATGAGGGGAGGCTTCTATCCTGAAAGGCTTCTATGAAAAGCTGTATTTTAAACTGTATTTTGTAATGCTGGGGGGGGCTGTTGCACCACCACCGTCAGGGGGTTCCACGGTGTCGTGGCCACCACCAAGAAGACCCAGTTCCTGGTCATAGATTTCTGGACCTCCCTCCGGATGGCCACTCACAACATGAGGGCCCACATGTGGCATGAATCCCAGAGAGAGGCTCTCTGACAAGTAACGAAGTCCCAAACGGTTTAATATATGTCAATATTAAAACCTTGAATCTGGCATGGAAGCATACAGTCAGACACGGGTCTTATATGTCAATATTAAAACCTCGAATCTGGCATGGAAGCATACAGTCAGACAGTGCAAGTGAGTCAGCACCTTATTTTGGTTACAGATTTTCGTGAACAAAGAACCTGGGGGTTTTAAGCGTGAGTTTGAAGGAGAAATCTTATCCGAAATATAATATTAGAAAGCCCCAGCATCCCGTTTTGTTTTGTTTTCTTCCTCATCTCCTGTTTGTGAGCTTCTCAGGGCTGGTTCCCTGTTTCCACCCTGGTGTGCCCTTGTAGGAACGGAACGGGGCGGCTGTGTATGCACAACCAGAAAGGAGGAGATGCATCACTCAAAAGAGGAACAGGAGAAGAACACGGTCTTGCATGTCTTTAGGAGTACAGAACTTAAGGGTACGGAAATAGATGCAACATTAGGAATGGTTTTTATAATTTAAACAGAATCAATCCAGGATCTGACTGGTGTTCGTGTAAAGGTGTGCAGAAATCAGACCTTGACTGAACAGGCTATGAAAGGGAGAAATAGATCTTCAATAAATGGTGGATTTCTAGCAACCTTTAAAATGGAGGAGTCCTGCCGAGAAGTGGAAATTTGGCCACCATTGAATAGTGTACGGGTGTGAAAGTCGGACTGTAAAGAAAGCTGACAGGGAAAAAAAATGCTTTGTTCAAAAGATGGTGCTGGAGGAGAGCTTTGCTGATACTCTGGGCTGCCAGACAGATGAACCAAAAAGTGGATCCAAGATCAAATCAAGCCTGAACTGTCTCTGGAGGCCAAAATGATGAAACTGAGGCTGTCCTACGTTGGGCCCATCAGGAGAAAGCAGGATTCTTTCTAAAAGGCAATCATGCTGGGAAAGGTGGAAGGCAGCAGGAAAAGAGGAAGACCACAATACAAGATGGACTGACTTCCAAAAGGAAGCCACATGCTTGAATCTGCAAGAGCTGAGCAAGGGCTGTTGAGGGCAGGAGATTTTTGGAGATGGTTCGTTCACAGGGTTCTCATAATTTAGAGGAGACATGACCGCATAGAACAACAACATTGATTGGCATGTTGGGCTTGCTAAGTTTTGGGCTTTATTTAGCAAGACTGTTCTCATGCATTGTACCTTTTGCTAAGATAATCTTTTCTGTGCACACAATGGGATATAGTGGCGGCTAACCATTTCTATGACCTACATAAATTGGAATAGATTTATCTTCTCACCAGAACCAAAGGTTGTGCATTCGATTCCCCACTGTGTTTCTTAGGAGAAAAACCAGCCCGTGTAGCCTTGGGCCAGCTGCACTGTCCCAGGACCCACCCCCAGAAGAAGGGAATGTGAAACCACTTTGGAGTATTCTCTATCTGAAAAGGGTCTCCATAAGTCAGAACTGACTTGACGGCACACAGTGATTCTTATGGCTATGGCATACTTATGCTAAAACAGATCATCAGGCACAGAAAAACATGCAATTTTGCGGAAGGATTTCTCAGAAGGGAGGGAGCCGGTATGGTCCCAACTAATTTTTTTAAAAAATTACCAATCCAATAAAATGATTTTACCCTGAAATAAGAATTGGGTCCTTTCAAGGAGAAAGGTGGGATATCAACCTACCAACCAACCAACCAACCAACCAACCAACCAACCAACCAACCAACCCACTCCAATCTCATTTATTGATCATTATTAAAATACACACATCATTTAATATAATAAACAAAATAATAAATTCGAGGAGAGGCACTGACCTTGCTCCCCCCCATAGATACCCATGAAAACAATAAATAATAATAGTCTTATTTATTTTGCAAAAATAGAAACATTACGGACCAATAATAATTACAGAAAGGCAATGAATGTATATGAAATGTCGGATTCACGAACAAAGGGCAGTGTTGTGCAAAACAATTCTCATTCACCTGACTGAAGTTCAATGTGATTAAAAATATTATTTCATTCATTGTTTCTTTTCACGTGTGTGTGTGCACGCGCACGCACACACAAATACACATAAATAAGCTCGGGAAAATACATGAGCCATGTCCCACCAGCAGGACAACCAAAGGCAATAAACCTTTTAAAGGATCTTGAAACAAATTCTCATTGATGGATATATTATATTATATATGTCTATATACTGGTAGCAAAAGTTTAAATAGTTTTTACAAAAATTATATCCCATAATAAATAATAGAAGCACAATGCAATTCCACTGCAAGGCCTATTGGCAGCAGAAATGTGTAAAAAAATTAATTAAATGTCAGTATTCCATTAAATTAAACTATGTTTAGTATTTAAGACAGCCAAGAGGACTTGCTGCCTGTTTTTTTTTAATAGTGATGTAGAACAGTGGTTCTTAACCTTTGTTACTCAGATGCTTTTGAACTGCAACTCCCAGAATTAATTTAATGTCAGTATTCCATTAAATTAACATATGTTCAGTATTTAAGACAGCCAAGAGGACTTGATGCCTGTTTTTTTTTTTAATAGTGATGTAGAAGACAGCCTTTTCACTAGTTTAACCTGTCAGAGAAAGCTGTGCTAGACAAGTGGCCAAATCCTGGCTCAAAGAAGCACCAGCTGGTGAGGGGGGGAGTCTTCTGCCTGGAAGATTCTGGGGAGCTACAGCTTGCTCCACCCCACGCCCAACCGCACAATTATTAAAGGATGCACGTCTTCTTTCGCACCTGATCACTTAGAGGATGGGGAGCTGATCATCAGAGCCCACCTAGCAGCACAATAGTTTCCCGTACATTCGGCCCAAAGGTTTGGACAGGGCTCCGTGACCTTGTTTGCTTGGACCCCAATACAGAGCTGATCTCTGGTTCCACTAGATTTCCAGCCATAGGGACTTGGTTCTGCCACATGGGGTGACCCAGCCCCGCTGGGTGGCCAGGTAGCTAGAGACCTTCACGGATCAAGACCCCCAGCCCACTTTGGCCACTCCTGTACGGAGCGATGCCCTCTGCCTCCTTCCATTCCCGGGACCTCAGGAAAGTTCGTGGCATGTCCTGCTTCAGACGCTATGAAGGGGCCAGTCTCCTCGGGTCGCCCCCTTCTGCTGGGTGGACCGTTTTATGCCCCATGTCTCCTCTGACCCTCCTGAACTGGACTCCTTCCCTAATGGCCCCTATTGATCCATGACCAGGGTTGAGGTACTGCTCAACGGCTCCTCCAACGAGCTTTTGCCGTTGACATGGTGGGAAGGCAGCACCCTCTTTGCCTCAGGCAGCAAAAGTGCTTTGGCCTGGCCTCCTTTGTATTGGTGGCTCCCTTTGCCAAAACCAACAGGAGAAGCAGCTCGGTGGCCACGTGTCGCCGCCGTCAAACCCTGGGCAAGAAATGTCAACAGGAAGAGGTTTCTCAACAGAAGCTGAGGAAGGAGCCAGTGAGGACCGGAGGGAGGACTTATTTTCCCCCCCTCTGTGGTTGTTTCCCCCATGAAGCACATCTGGGGAGGCTGGATGGTGGGCAACTGTCCGAGGAGAGTCAGAAACCGGGAAGCAGGACCCGTCGGGCAGAGACAAAATGAGAAGACCGGAGAGTTTAGTCAGCACCGGAAGACAATAACTGCCCGGGTCATTTGAAGGTCCCTTCCCTTCCAGGTGTCTCGAGGCCATGGCGTCATTGTTGTTTGTGTCGGACCCGCATGCAAATGCACCTCTGGTTATTATTGTTTCTGTGAAGGACTTATGAAATCCATGCGCTTCTGTTTCATCCTTCGAACAGTGTCATTTTTGATGAGTCAGTCTGAAAGAAGTGGCATGTCTCTGTCTACTTCTCTTTTTCTGCTGTCCTGGCCTTTTCCCTCTAGCAAACTCCTTTCCGAAGAGCCTAGCCAAGTGACCAATGAACTTAGAGTAGCTCCAGAGCCCGCGGCATCCTTCAATCTTCCGAGAGAATCCCGAAACGGCAGGAGTCCTCTTAGGGAGAACTAACCTGGTTGGAGTAACACCCTGTAGGCAAAGGGCACAACGGATGTTGGAAAGAAGCCCAGCTAGCGACAGGGAAGACTTTTCCAGTTCGTAATACAACTCGTGCTCTGGATTGTTTGAAAGTTGGTGCTCTTTGAGGACTAGGAGGGAATCCTGCGCACTTGCCAACGTCCTGTACAGGTCCTGCAGCATCAGACTCTCTGGCTCCCTAGTTATATTTTTGCTTGAAAACCCAGGAACTAGTGGCGACTGACAAACTGGGCGCAGATTGAGCAAATCCATATAAGTCACCTAGATGGGAAAAATCAGAGAGGTGGAATTAGCATAATCCTTGAAGGGTTATTATTTAAGCAGATAATATCCCTGAACAAGTGGCCCAAGGCGAAAATGTGAAGTGAAACAAATCATCTCTACCATTGACGTCGGTAGGATCAGCAACAATGATGGGTAGACAGGAAATATGTCACTAAAGATTGAGAGCAATTTCCTGTTGTGGTTAGGACACTGGCTTCGTTGTCTCTTTGCGTTTCGGCTTTCTGGGCCAGTAGCAACAGCAAGGGTCATTTGCTAAATCTGTGTGGAAGTCCCAAGCTGAAAACCGGTAGGCATGTCTTGAGAAACTAATTTCTTGTAGGTCAAGGATCCTTAACCCTCCAGATGTCCAGACCCAGAATCCTTAACCATTGAATTCTGTAAAAGTTTGCTTCTTTCATTCTCACAAGGCAAAAATGAAACATTTCAAGGATATTTCTCCATTTTGAATGTGTTATCTATTGTTCATGTAGTGACACTTTTTGCAAAGAAATTAACCCCCAAAAAACCGCAACAAACCCTTGTTTTGCACAGAAAGCCTTATGATGTACACAGAAAATGTTTAATTTTGAGCAGAAAGCCATGTATTTGGTGCAAAACACTAGGCTTTTCCTGAAAAAAAAATTTTTTTTTACATAAAACCTACAAGTTGTTTTGGCTGGCTGGCTTGCTATTTTCCTCTTCTGGATGTTAAAGGTCTTAGCCATCTCGTTATTGTGTAAATCTTGAACATTTACCCTTGTCTTTTCTATCAGTTTTCAAGAAGAGGAAAATGTGTATTTATCTCAGCATTGGCCACGCTGAATGGTGCCTGAAGTCAAAACATATAAAGAAGTCAAGTTTGGGAACTATTGGACTAGATCAAAAGGTGATGATGGCCTTCCAGATGTGGTTGGCGAGCAGCCTTCCTCATGACTGGCTATGTTGGCTAGGGCTGATGCCATGTCCAACAACATCTGGAGAATCACAGTTGGACCTTCCTCTTCTTGAACCGTGCTTCCCAACCTTGGGTCCCCAGATATTCGTAACTTCCAGAAATTGTGGCCAGCACAGATAGTGGTGAAGCCTCCTGGGAGTTTTAGCCTGAGAATACCTGGGGTCTCAAGGCTGGGAATCATTGTTCTAGGACCTCTCTTTTTTTGGCTGGATATGCAAACTTTTTTGGATGATGGAGATCAGTAGAAGCAGGTTGCAGCTTTCCACGGATGGGCTGCCCTTGTGCCAACCTCAAATCCAGTCCCTTCCGTCCACCTGGGACAGGTGAGTAAAGGTGAGTAAATAAAGGTGAGTATGTGTTTCCATTTTTAAACCCTCGTAATTAATTCCTTTCTCCAGCAGCCAATGCAGAATGAAGTGAATGTGTGTTTGCATCTTAATAAAGGATCACTTTTTTTTTGCAGGAAAACTTGACACTTTTGGTCCCTTATCCAGTTGGGGGGGGGGGGGTTACAGCTTCACTAAAAGTGAAGTGACTGTGTGTTTACATCTTAATAAAGGATCACTTTTTTTTGCAGGAAAGTTTGTCACTTTTGGTCCCTTATCCAGTTATGGGGGGGGCGTGTTACAGCTTCACTAAATGGAGGAGGAGGAATATCACACAGCTCAAGTGCCGGCTCACACTACATTTTTAAAGGCACCAAATTATAATATAATTACATTGATATAGATGGCATTTTATTTTTATTTTATTCATCTGAAAAACCTGCCTGGATCAAAAGTCCTGGCTTGGAAGCTAGCTCCGGGCTTCAAAGAGGTGGTGCAAAGTATATAAATACCAGGATAACCCTGAAGCTAGTTTAAGGGAGCTGGTTTAACTTTATCTTCCAACACAGGGAAGCAAATGAAGATTTTGAAAAGAACCAGGGTGCAATTGTCTCGTGTTAAGGCCAGCCTGCGAATCTACCTAATGACAGGGCCGGATTGTCGATAGACACGTCCCTATCAGTGGATGGCTGTGCGCATCATGGTTTGGTGTGAAACTGAAGCTCAGAGCATTATCACTAAGTCACAGGATAATTCCAGGGCATGTCGGCAAAGTGATGAATCCCAATTAACTTACATAGGAGACATATAGTTCCTGCACGGACCGTTTCATCCAGATTATCTGTAGCTTTGTTTTGTTAAGGAAATCTGAAGTTGCCGGACACTTGGGGCAGAAGCTGGCGACAGAGCCCACCACGGATACGAACAGGAGAGCGAGAGAAGGCGCTAAGGCTGGAGAGAAAGATAGATAATGCAAAGGTTAGTCACAGTCAGCGAAAGGCGGCCGGCTGAAAAGCCTCAAGGCTGGGAGGGCCCTCCTGTTACATCCGGGATTCTGTGCAAATGTAAAAGAAAAGGCATGGAATTGCAGAGAATCCGATCAAGACAAGTGCTACCTTCTCAGTGTGAATGCCGGGCTCCTGAATTAATCGAAAAGGGATTCATTAAATGCCAAAGCATGGATGTTTATGGAGGCCCCAGGGGCTACAGCCTGCAAAGGCTGATGCCAAATAAGCCTGACTAGCCTTTAAGATGCCACAAAACTCTTGCTTGCCATGGTATAGAAACTGTCCTGTGGCTGAGGACCATTAAGTCAACTTCTCTCCATCTTGAATCATAGATGGTTATGCCTCAGCCTATAGGAGCGATAGAAAGGCCACTCAAGATCTGAGAGAAATATGCCGGGATGCCCATTTTCACTTTTGGTTCCTTATCCAGTTATTGGGTGTGTGTATGTGTTACAGCTTCACTAAATGGTGGAGGAGGAATATCACAAGCTCAAGTGCCGGCTCACACTACATCTTTGTCTCCCGTTCCACATGTCCATGTGAAGACAAGGAGGGCAGGAGGCAGGCATGTTTAGTACCAAGGCTAAAGGATTGTGGAATTCTGATGGGTTATTTTATTAGTTACTATTTAGTTACTTTTCAGAAGGGGGTAAAAAGTTACATTTAAACATTGTAGCAACTATTAATTTCTTTGCTTGGGACTGTGAACCGTAACCATAACAAAGCTTAGAAATCTTATCTTTTGAACTGCAACTCCCAGGATTTCCTCTCTGGGGATTCTGGGAGTGGTAGTCCAGAAGGGAACATTTCCAGGCTCTGCCTGTAGCTAATTACTTTTTCAAGTCACTTTCCAAGCTACAGTTTAAAGGACCAGACAACAAGGGATGGGAAAAGTATTTCTCTGGCATTTTCATATGATTTATTTTGCCATGAAAAAGTTAAATGGCTGCATGCAAATACTGCAGATAGAGGTAGCCGGGTTTTCTCTTCATCCTGATTCGTACAAGAAGGTTAAAGTCTTTTTCTTGCTTTCAGTGGCAAGAAAAAGCAAATAAATAACAATGTGGTGATGATGATGAATGCAATCCCATTCTGATATTTTTCTTGGTTTCCCATTAGCATTCTCATCCTGTCCAAGTGCTATATGAGGTTACAAAGCTTCTCCTAATTCCTGAACTAAAATTCATGCATTTTATATGCTTAAAATAAACCCTACATTCTTGTTTGCATTTTTTCTAATAAACATATTTTATTTTCATTTTCCCGTTGACTAAAGCATATTTCTCTGCTTAGTTGAAACATACACAGTTTTAATTACGCCTGTTTCTGAAACCACCCCAGTAATGCCGTTCCCAGCATCCAAAAATCTACTTCTACAAGGTCGGTGATGACGTTGTAAATTGACCTATAGGTAAAGGTAAAGGTTCCCCTTGACATTGAGTCCAGTCGTGTCCGACTCTAGGACACGGAGCTCATCCCTGTTTCCAAGCCATAGAGCGTTTGTCCGAAGACCATTTCCGTGGTCACGTGGCCAGCGCGAATAGACACAGAATACCATGACCTTCCCACCGAGGTGGTACCTATTTATCTACTCACATTTTACATGCTTTCAAATGGCTAGATTGGCAGGAGCTGGGGGCAGCAACGGGAGCTCCCTCCGTCGCGTGGATTCGATCTTACGATGGCTGGTCTTCTGACCTTGCAGCACAGAGGCTTCTGCGGTTTAACCCGCAGCGCCACCCACGTCCCTAAAACTGACCCATACATGTCACCAATCACAACAGCAAGAGAGTGGTGGCAGGAGGAAGGACCACGAAGACGGCCAAGGTTTTATATAAAAGGCATGAAAATTCTCTCCAAACCAAACTTGTTGGATTTTACAACCACTATCAGGGAACTAGTTAGGTTGTGACTGTGTGGGTCAGCTGACTCGTATGTTTATTTACTATTTATTTAATTTATTTACCAACCACCAGGGCCACTCTGGGTGGTTTACAAAAAAATAAAACACTAAGAGCAACATAAAATAATAAACACATAAGCATCATGATCATATGAAAATAAAGAGAGACATACACTAACCAATTAAACTTGGAAAAGAAAAACATACACGTCTACCCATCACAGACATCTCTTGAGGTCGTGGGAAAGAGAACAGGACCTCTGCTGAGAAAACTCTACAGATATTTTTCCTGCCTTTTGACATTTCTGGTGGAAATTCAGGAACAATAGTTTTGCCACACTTTTTCATTCCTGCCGTCCTAGTGATGTACACAGGCTGTTGAATTTTAGGGATAGGAGGAACGTCGAAAAACACTGAATTTTACAACCTGACTTTCTTTTAGAATTCATTACTGGGACTTCAGAGTTAAGAAGCAGTCCAGGTTAAACCAATACAATTCCTGGTTATTTCATCAGAAGACGATTCAGAATTGTTGCTAGAACAACAACCCACAAGTTAGAAAGAAGGATATCCGCCTATGTCGCCTACCTTCAGCATCGTTATACTGATGGGACATAACAATGGCAGGGAGGACCAACGAACCATCTAGTCAAGAGTTCATTTGATTGATTGTTCATTGTTTGTTCATTCAGTCGATTTATATCCTGTTTTTCCTCCAAGGGCGTCAAGCCAGCATACATGGCTCTTCTCCGCACTTTTATCTTACAAGAGCCCAGCAAGGTAGACCAGCCTGAGGAAAAGGGAGACCTGAGTCAACCTGGGGACCTGAATCTGGGTCTCTCATGTCCTACTCTAAGGGACAAACTATCCTCCTATCAGAAATACACAGCGCCATGTAGAAGGGCATCCATGAAGGAATGAGAAAAGATCATGAAGTGTAAGGATGTGTCACTGGAGACCAAGACCATCCAGACATTTTTTGTATTCCCAGACACCAGGTATGGATGTAAAAACTGGACAGTTGAGAAAGAGGGCAGGAAAGGAACTGATCCATCTGAAATGTGGTGCTGGAGGAGAGTTTTGCAGAGACCCTCGACGGACAGGAAGACAAACAAGTGGGTCCTGGATCCAATGAAGCCTGAACTCTCTCTCTGGAGGCCAAAATGATGAAACGGAGGCTGTCCTACTTTGGGCGCAACAGAAGAAGGCACGATTCTTTCTAAAAGATGACAATGTTGGGAAAGGTGGAAGGCCGTAGGAAGAGAGGATGAGCAAATATAAGATCGACTACTCCCTAAAAGAAGCCACAGGCAGCAGAAGAAGGCACGATTCTTTCTAAAAGACGACAATGTTGGGAAAGGTGGAAGGCCCGTAGGAAGAGAGGATGAGCAAATATGAGATCGACTACTCCCTAAAAGAAGCCACAGGCGTGAGTTTTTAAAGGCTGAGATGGAGAGTTGGAGGACAGCACATTTTAGAAGACGATCATCCATGGAGTCACAACGCTGGACCAGAACAACAACAGATACAAGTACAGCCGAGGAACCCCCACATGCTTAGAGTAAATACCAGTTTCTATTCCCTCTCTGTCTGTCTGTCTGTCTGTCTGTCTGTCTGTCCCTTTGGACTTCTAGTCCTTTCCCCGCCAGCTGCCGGATCTAAACAGCAGAGGATCTGAAGAGGAACGTCCAGGAGCAAAAGGCGCCCACCACAGTGTCCCAAGAGAAAGGGGGAAGAGCATCACCTACCACGACGGACGCCAAGCCCCCGTGGCTTCTGCACCATGCTCGGGAGACGTCGTCAGACAGAATGCCACCACTTCCTCTGCGATTGGCTTGATGACGGGGAACTTCCTTTCTTCCTCTTATTTTCTTTCCTCTCTCTCCCCCCCCCACCCCACCCCTCCGGCTCCGGCGTGCTGATTAGCCCAACTCATCTCGTGGGGTGTGGTTGTGGGAGGCGGTGGTCAAAGGCATGAAAAGCGCCATAAATAACTGGGCCCACGGATGGTTTCGCTGGGCAGCCTCCCAAAAGGCAAAGGCATCGTTCACGAACTGCTGGAGAACTCCGTGGTTTCAGTCTCTGGCTGGAGAGCCAGAAGTCGGGAGTTCGATTCCCCTACGGGGACTCCTTGAGAGGGGCTGGACTGGATGATCCCGAGGACCCCTTTCCAGCTCTGCCGTACAGATGATATATTCCACTGGTTATAGGCTGTGTGGATGCTTCCCGTGGGGACTGGGCTCTGTTGACTGGATGTAAAATGAAAAGGCTTTATTATTATTATTATTATTATTATTATTATTATTATTATTATTATTATTATTATTATTATTATTATTATTATTACTGTACTGGCATTGCCAATTCCTACTCCAGGTGGATTGCATTTAGTCGGAACTCTCCACTATGACCTGTCCGTCTTGGGTGTCCCTGCACAGCATAGCCCATAGCTTCTCTGAGTTACTCAAGCCCCTTTGGATGCATCCTCTGTGGGGTTGACAATTTAATTATGCACGCTAGACAACAACAAAAAACCCGTATAAACCTCAGGATGATAAAAATGAATGAATGAACCAAAACTCCCCCCCCCACCTCATTCAAAGCAGAAAGTAACAATATGAATGTGAGAAGTTTCTCCCAGCTCTTTCTTGCCTTAATTCAAATCTGTGATCTTAAGGTGGGGTGAAAGGGTGGATTTTAAGGCCCCCGTCCCTCCTGTTTTAGTTATTGTGGCTTTCCTCCCCCCCCCCAAGGAACCCTGGAAAAGGATACCTGCTATTAAAACTCTCATGAGATGTAACAGCGAAGGTATTATGTTCAAGAAATATAGAAGCCTTTTGGCTTGTCTAGGACCCGAGAGACCTGGGTTCAAATCTTCACTCTCTACCAAGGAAGCCTGCGAGCGGCTGGTGAGCGTGAAACCACTCCTTGAACAGCTGAGGGACTTCACAAACCCTGGTAGGGTTGACATAAGGGAGGGAAAAAACTTGCGAATCCATAAAAACAACATGACCACGTTGAGCCAGTGTGGTGGTCGGCTGGATCGAACGTCAGACCAGAATCTAGGAGACCTCGGTTTGAATCCCTACTTGGCCACAGAAACCCAAAGTGAGTGGGGGTGGTGGTGAATGGTAAACCACTCCTTCAACATTTCTTATACCTCAAAAACCTCCTAGAGGCATGATAGCTGAGAAGCACATTGACAGCCCCATCTGAACAAATAGGTATGTTCAGTCTGTACATATGCCTATAAACTTTATTGTTTCTGGCCTTTACAATGTTAAGTCTGTAGCTGCAAAGCCAGTAAAAAAGTCTTATGGGGTCTTGAAGACTACCAAGTTTGATTTATCAGAAGCTTTCCAACTGCTAATCTTATGTTAAATTTCAGTCTCAGTTTATTGCTATGCAATAGCCTGTTTCCCCGAAAATAAGACCTAACGTGAAAATAAGCCCTAGTAGGATTTTTCAGGATGCTCGTCATATAAGCCCTACCCCAAAAATAAGCCCCCGTGAAGTGAAACCCCCACCCTCCGCCCTTGTGCATCAACCAGAAGAAGACAGGACTGTATTTGACAGTTGTACATTAAAAAACATTCCCCATGAAAATAAGCCCTAATGCATTTTTGGAGCAAAAATTAATATAAGACCCTGTCTTATTTTCGGGGAAACACAGTAGCTATCCAAACTTTCATCGTTTAGTCATTTAGTCGTGTCCGACTCTTCGTGACCCCATGGACCATCCAAACTTTATGCACGCATGAAAGAAACAGAGAAAGAACAGGAGCAGATTCTTTTTAAAAAGTTAAGGAATAATAAAATAATTCATGCCATCAAGTCAATTCTGGTTTATGGCAACCTTTTCCAGATTTTCTAGGTAGCAGGAGCTCAGAAATGGGTTTCCAGTCCCTTCTTCTTGGAACTTGCCTAAGGTGGCTTTTTCTCCGGGAAGTCACAGTAAATAAAGTCACAGAGCTGTTCCAATTGATGTTCAGGCATGTTTTCTGCTCAATGACAGCTTTTACATGAGTGACCGGCCCCATGACTAAACTTTAGATGGCTTGTTGTGCATGACTGCTCTGGCTGGGTCCTTAGGACTACTTATGTTCATCATCTCTCAGAGTGGTATTTGTTTGTTCCTTTTTAGTATATTTGCATACCTTTCTTTTTTGCTTTGTACGCATTGTTCTTAGCTCTAAATATTGTCTTTTAAAGATGCAAACCACCACCACATGCTCATTGTTTCCAGCTTTAAAAACACAAGTCTTTCCAGCCACCTCGCGTCCTTTTTAGGGAGAAAGGTGGGGTGAAAAATATTTTCAATAAAAAAATAAATGGCGTGTTTTCTTTTGGGCCATGTAGCAAAGTTGCCCTTACTATTATTTATCGGCAAGGGGAGCCCATCACTGAGCAAAGCTCGGCGTATATAGTCCTCTAAGCTCTGGGATGTCCAGCGGATGAGGAAGAGTTGGAGGCCGCCAGAAAACTAGAAAACTCCCCCAAGTTGAATGCCTTGGTGCCCAAATAAAGAAATTCCTCTTCTTCATGGTTGCTTTGACTATTATTTTGGAAATCTCTCTCTCTCTCTCTCTCTCTCTCACACACACACACACACACACACACACACATTGTGGACATGGTATTCACAACAAGCTTCACCTCAAAGGAATCTAACAAACATCCTCAGCTTGTGAGCCAGTGCTGTGAAAACCTTTATTCTCCTGCCATTCCCATTTTTATAGCCTTTAATGACCTGCGGGGCAGAAACTGACATAGCTGGCTTATCTTCTGCATTGAGATGTAGCTGCCCTCTCCTCTCCTCTCGGGCAGGCGTGGGTTTGATGGTGCCCTTCCGAATCATCCAGAGGTAAGCAGGCCCTTTGTCTTCCAAATCAGAAAGTCGATAATGTTTGCATAGTTTCGGTGCATGTTTTTCATGTTAAGCATCTGAAGGGTTGGGATCTGGTCAACAAGTCAAGAGGCGATGGTTAGAAAGATCTTTTGCTGGATTGATCCTGTGTAGGCAACCAAGTGCATATAAAGGATAGTTTCGATGACTACAGCCACCAGTTCCAACCAGTACAGCCCATGACTGAGGATGATGTCTGACACTTTTTGGTCACCCCATGGACCAGGGCACGCCAGGCCCTCCCGTCTTCCGCTGCCTCCCGGAGTTGGGTCAAATTTATGTTGGTCGCTTTGATGACCCTGTCCAACCATCTCATTCTCTGTCATCCCTTTTCCTCTTGCCGTCACACTATCCTAACATCAGGGTCTTTTCCAGGGAGTCTTCTCTTCTCATGAGATGGCCAAAGTATTGGAGCCTCAGCTTCAGGATCTGTCCTTCTAAATCCCCCGGCCCAAATTCATGGCCAGATGTGTTGAAATGGATTGAGAGGAGTAGAACTGAAAGATGGCTTCTATTTGCAAAACATTCATGGCCCAATAAAAGCATCATCCACTCTTGTCTTCAGATTGTGTACAGGGAGCACACCGCTTTTTGCCTTTTTCTTAGCTCCATCTGTGTAGCAAACAAATATTCTTCTGCTTCATGGACTGCATTCACTTTGCTTACTTATTCTGTGTGACACCTCACTTTAAGGGGCTCTCGGTTTGCCAGAAATGGCCACTGGCATAGTGGTTAACTTACCTGCCCTTTCCAGGAGCTGAGCCTTCTCACCTTGACATGTGTGACCGCTCTGTCTTTCCGGACCCGAAACCTTTAGGAGGTGCCTTTCTTCCCACTGATTTGAATGGAAGCAGTTCTGCTTAGACATCGTGGCTTGCTATTTGGGATGGCCAAGAATATCCTTTTAGTTTACTCTTGAAAAGAATGTTTTCCCGATGTCTTCATAAACAGAGTGCAAAGAACTTGAAATTTAAAGGAAAAAAGAACCTTAGCAATTGCCACTGGCAATGGTGAGGCTAAAAAATATTGTAAATAAATAAAATAAATATTGTAAATAAAATATGGGAGGCAGTAAAATAAGACAGTAAAAAAATAAAAAGGAGAAGGGGACGACAGTGGACAAGATGGTTGGACAGTGTCATCGAAGCGACCAACATGAATTTGACCCAACTCCGGGAGGCAGTGGGAGACAGGAGGGCCTGGCGTGCTCCGGTCCATGGGGTCAAGAAGAGTCGGACACGACTGAACAACAACAACAAAATAAAACTAATCCTTCTATCCAAGGTTTTGAGTGTTTAGTGCTTAAAAATCTAGGCTTATATGCTGGCCATTCAATCCTGTTTCAGGTCCTTTCTGTGTTGAAAACAGTCCTCTACTGCAATGGGTCTCAGCAAATCAGGAAGCATTTAATTTCTGTCTGCTTTTCAAGGATTTATCGAAGGTGGAAAAATTCTTCATATTTGGGACACAAAACTTGAGGTCTTTAACACCGGACTGTGGGGTTAAAAATGAGCATCACCAATTCAGTAGCCCACTTTCAGATAGCAAATCTAGAGTAGAAAGTGAAAATATTGTTGTCATCCCTTTTTTTTCTGTCTGTTTTTTTTTTACTGCTTCAATTAAAGTCTGGCAGCAACTCAAGCTATTCCAGTTCTTTTCCGGTTCAGCCCAGTAACAGTTTGGGAATCCTTCTGGAGCACAGAAAGATATATTTGATTCCTCTTCATGTAGAATATTAGATGTCGTAGAAATTCATTTGGAGGATGGCACTGGCAAAACCATTCCTTAAGTACGATCTCATATACCTGGAAAATCTTCTTGGGAGGTCATGAAGTGTCCGGTGTGTCTTACACACAGCAAATAAACAAAGAAAAGAGACAGAGAAAGGAGAAATAATCATGCCACTTTACATGTAACCAGCTC